TCTGCCAACACAACAGTTCAAATGCATCAATTCTTCTGGCTTCCTTTTTCACTGTCCAGCTTTCACATGCATATGAGCAATTAAAAAGCACCTTAGTCATCAAAGTGATATATTTGCTTTTTAAAACTTTAAAGAGGTCTTCTGCAGAACATTTGTCCAGTACATCATTTGATTTGTTGGTTGTTGATCCAAGTAGAATGAAGTCATTGACAACTTCAATTTCTTCTTCATGTATCATGATGTTGTTTACTGGTCCAGTTGTGAGGGTTTTTGTTTTCTTCACATTCAGGTATAATCTATACTGAAGGCTGCAGTCTTTGATCTTTATCAATAACTGCTTCCTCTTCACTTTCAGTAAGCAAGGTTGTGTCATCTGCATATTACAGGCTGTTAAATGAGTCTTCCTCCAATCCTAATGCCGCGTTCTTCATATAGTCCAGCTTCTCAGATTATTTGTTCCGCATATAGATTGAATAAGTGAAAGGATACAACCCTGCCACGTACCTTTCAGTCTCAATAGGGGCTTTTTACTTTTAAAAAGCAATTTTTGTCCTTTTTCATTTCCTCAATTATAAATTTGCTTTCTGCTTAATTCATTTCTGTTCTTTCTTACTCCTTTCTTCTACTTTCTTTGGGTTTAATTTGCTGCTCTTTTAGTAATTTCTTAAGATGGATGATTAGATCATTAATTTTGCAGCATTTCATATTTGCAACATATGCATTTAAACTCACAAAATTTCCCTCTGTGATTTTAACTGCCCCCAACAAATTTTAATAGGAAGTATTTTCATCATCATTCAATTGAAAATATTTCCTAATTTCAGTTATTTCTTGTTTAACACATAGGTTATTTTAGAAGTGATTTTCTTAATTTTCAAACACATGAGAATTTTCTCATTATCTTTTTGCTAGCATTAATTTTGTTATGTTCATGGTTTTAATCATCTGAAATGTTTTGAGATTTGCTTTATGGCTCAGTTTATGTGTGCTTGAAAATGTTTATTCTGTACATATTGTTCTACCTACAATGTTCCATATATGTCCATAAGGTGAGTTTGCTAATTACCTTGCTTAAATCTCCTACCTTCTTACTCATTTTTTCCTGCTTGCTAACTGGGCCAATAAGAGGTATGTTAAAATCTCCTATGATGGTTGTGAATTTGTCTATTTTTCTTGTTGCTGCTGTTGTTAGGTGTCGTTGAGTTGGCTCTGACTCGTAGCAACCCTATGTACAACAGAACGAAACACTGCCAGGTCCCGCACCATCCTCACAATTGTCGCTATGCCTGAGCCCACTGTTGCAGCCACTGTGTCAATCTATCTCGTTGAGGGTCTTCCTCTCTTTCACTGACCCTCTACTTTACAAAGCATGATGTCCTTCTCCAGGGACTGGTCCCTTCTGATAACATGTCCAAAGTATGTGGATGAAGTCTTGCCAGCCTCGCTTCTAATGAGCATTCTGGCTGTACTTCTTCCAAGACAGATTTGCTCCTTCTCCTGGCAGTCCATGGTATATTGAATATTCTTTGCCAACACCATAACTCAAAGGCATCGAATCTTCTTCGGTCTTATTAACTGTCCAGCTTTCTCATGCATACGAGGCAACTGAAAACACCACGGCTTGGGTCAGGCACACCTTAGTCCTTAAAGTGACATCTTCGTTTTTTAACACTTTAAAGAGATCTTTTGCACCAGATTTGCCCGATGCAATGTGTCATTTGATTTCTTGACTGCTGCTTCCACAGGTATTGACTGTGGATCCCAGTAAAATGAAATCCTTTACAACTTCAATATTTTCTCTGTTTATCATGATGGTGCTTATTGGTCCAGTTGTGAGGATTTTTTGCTCATGTTGAGGTGTGAAATATTCATTTATAAATTTTAAGACTATGTTATTAGGCACATACAAATTAGAAGTATTATACTTCCTGGTGAATTAAACCTTTTATCATGAAGTGTCCCTCTTAATTTTTAAAATAATGGCTTTTGCCTTAAAATCTACTTTATCTGATATTAACATAGTTAACACAGCTTTCTTTTGGTTGGTACATGGTATCTTTTCCCAACCCGTCAATCTTTCTGAATTCTTAGGTCTTAAATTGTCTTTTGTAAACAGCATATACTGTTAGACTTTTGTCTTTTGTAACTGAAACACTTAAAATCCAAACTCAACCCACCGCCATGGAATCATTTCCAACTCATAGCAAACCTGTAGGACAGAGAAGAACTGCCCCATAGAGTTTCCAAGGCTGTAATCTTTACCGAAGCAGACTGCCACATTTTTCTCCTGAAAGGCTGACTGATGGATTTGAACCACCGACCTTTTGGTTGGTAGCTGAGCGCTTAACCACTGCGCTACCAGGGTTCCCAAATTGAATGTAATTAGTTATATATTTGGGTTTAAATCTACCATCTTACTACCTGCTTTCTATTTTTCCTGCCTGTTCTGTGTTTCTTTTTCTCTCATTTCTTCCTTCTTTTCGGATTAATTAAAAACAAACTATTTCCATTTCCCCTTCTGTTATATACTCTTTCACTATTAGCAGTTACTCTAAAAATATGACATGCATCCTTGTTAGTCTAATGTTAACTGGTATCTTTACCCCCTTCCCAGACAACGCAAGAACCTTAGAACACATTAATTCCATTTACCTACCTCCCAACTTACATGTTATTGTTGTCATAGATTTTATCTATATTTTAAAACCCGGAAGGCATTATCATCATTATATATAGTCAAGATTTGCTTTGTTTCACCCACATATTTGCTATTTTCATTGTTCTTTGTACCTTTCTACATTTCCATTCCTCCATCTAGGATCATTTTCCTTCTGTCTGAAGTATTTTCTATTTCCTTTAGTGCAAATCTGCTGGTGAGATGACAAATTCTTTTTCTTTTGGACTGAGAATGACATTATTTCACTTGAAGACTATTTTCATAGAAGACAGAATTCTAGTTATTATTTTTCATCACTTTGAAAATATCATCCTGGCTTCCATTGTTTCTAATGAGAAAACCAGCTGTCAATCTAATTATTGTGCCTTTGTAATCACCTCCAACCCCCAGGAAAGCTGAAAGAATTCTACAAAAAAGCCTTGTTTATCATCTACAATCTACCATTAGCATTCTACTATACTTACTTCATCACATCTCTCTCCATCCCTCCATCCCATCCTACTTGTTGTGATGCATTTCAAAGTAAGCTGCAGATATCTGTGATATATGTACACTTCCCTTTATATACTTCACCATGCATAGCACTAACTAGAGTTCAACATTTGTTCACAGTTCTTTTGAGATAAAATTTACATATAATGAAGTCTACAAATCTTAACCACACTATTCAATGGATTTTGACAAATGCATACATCTGTGTAACTCAAATCTGGCTGTTTTTAAGATTTTCTTTTTGTCTCTGGTTTTCAACTGTTTTGCTATTATGTGCCTAGGAGTAGTTTTCTTTACATTTATCCTGCTTAAAGTTTGTCCTCGAGTCTGTGGCGTGATGTTTTTCATTGTTTTTGAAAAAAAATTAAAGCTATTTATCTCTTCCAGTATTGCCTTTGTCTTGTTCTCTCTCCTCCTAGGACTCCAAGCACACATTAGACTTTCTATATTCTCTATGTCTCCTATGCAGTCTTCAGGTTTTCTTTCTCTTTGTTTCTCTGTTTCATTGTAGCTATTTTCTTCTGACCTTGCTCTTGGCATACAATTGTCTCTTTAACTGTGTTTAGTCTGCTGAGTTCCTACTTTTGATTACCGTATTTTTCAATTCTAGGATTTCTATTAAATTCATTTTAAAATATGTCAAACTTTCTAGTTCTCTGCCATAATTCTCAGTCTTGCCTTTTATCTCTTTTGATCACGGTAAGAGTGTATCTGCTAATTCCAGTAAGTGAAGGGTCTGTATTTGTTGCTATTGTCTAATGTTTGCTGGTAATCATTCACATTGTCTTGATTCCTGTGTGCCTCTTCATTCCTTTTATTATATGCCAGTCATTAGATTTGAAAAAGTAGAAATAAATTGTGGCCTAGGAGATGTTATCTTCTCCAAAGAAATTTCTTATTTGCTTTTGCCAGTAGTCTTGGGATCTAACAATCTAGGCGTTAATCCAAAAATCAGGAGGTTGAAATGATTAGGACCTGAGCTGGGCTGAAGTCCCTGTGAGGGTTGATTTACTTCCACTTCTCCCTTACTCCCAGAGTACAGCCCTTTAGGGTCTCAATTCAAATTGCAGAGGATTTAGCACCCCTCCCCTCCTACAACTCTTTGGAGGGCTCTGAACACATCCCTTCTTGTGCCCCTAGCTCAGACAGGCTGTTGAAAGTCTTAACCAGCCTCTCAATCACCTCTCCTTGGGGAGATATGACTGGGGCCACGTCTTCCAATTTCTGCTTTTCTCCTGGATCTTGGCCTGGTAAATCCTCATTACTTTGCTAGCTCTCTGACACCTTCAAGTAGTTTTTTTTTTTCCCCTAATACTTTGTTCCGCTTTTCTAGTTGTCCTCAGCAGGAGGGGGTTGGTCCATTACCCAGGGCACCATTCGAGGAAGCCTATCAAAGCTTTCTCACATGTGGATGAGGACAGCAGGGTAGTCCCTTCCCAGGAGGCCCACTGGAACCCTTGGCCCAGACCCCTGGCATCCTTGTCCGTGTCCACAGGCAGCCCTCGTGCCAACCCTTGGCTCAGGAGTCTGCCCTGCACTCACAGGCATGGGAGCTATTCAAGCCTTCAGCGTGGGGCCTGACCTGATCCAGTCTCAATTTCCAAAAGGTCAACTACACAGCATCTAGAAGATGAACTAGGGTGGGGCAGGGATAAGAAAGAAGTGAAGGTAAATGGCCAGGTGGCCGGAGAGTACACCACCACAATGCTGGTACAACAGGCCAGGAGACAGGCAATGAATCCGGGAATCTGGACAGTAGTGGACACAGTGAGGCAGACACAATGCCCTGGGTGTGCTGCCTGAAAGCCACCCCCAGGGCCCCCAGACTCACAGCCATAGGGGTTGGTGCTTTTAAAGGTGACATCGATGGGGAAGTTCCACACCAGTGCTCCCTGCACATCTTGGCTTTTGGATGTGATCTGCGAGATCCCCTCCTCCAAACCCTGTGAGGACAATGACACTGACAGCTAGTATCTGAATTTCAGGCTGCCACACCCCCTCCTTATCTTGGGAGAGACAGTTGGGAGGGCAGTTTGGGAAGGGATAGTTTTCTTAACTATCTTCTCCCAAAACCTACCAACCAAACAAAGGGAACTAACAGATAACAGAGCACCTATTAGGTCTGGTACTCCTTGGTTCTTGACAACCCTGGGAAGCCAACTCCACTCCCTTTGTACTTGGTCTTGTCCCCTCTTGCCTCTTGAAGGAAACAGCTTTGTCAATTTTTCTCTCTCCCTCCTGTACATCAATTTCACTCAGATCATTCCCATCAGCATATATACATATGTTATTTTCTCTATCACAAAACTCTTTTGTCTTACTTCTTCCAGCTATCAACCCATCCTTTGCTGCCCTTTACAGCAAAACTCCTTGAAAGAGTGGTTGCTCCTTGCCATCTCCAATTTCTCTTCTATTCGTCCCTCATGACCCCAATTGGATGATTGGCCCGACCACTCTACGAAAGCACTCTCATCAAGTGACACATGGTTTTGACACTGCTAGATGCTAAGGCCATATCTCTGTCTTTGTTCTCCTGACACATCAGCAGCATTTAACACAGTGGAGCACACTCTGCTCCTGGACACACCTCCTTCCTTTGGTTTCTAGGACACCACAAGCATCTGGGTCTTGCTACCTCACAGCAGCTCTTGCTCAGTCTCTCTTGCTGGTGCCTTCCTAATGCTACAGTGTCCCAAGGCTCAGTCTCTGGTCTGCTCTTTTGCTGCACCTATGGTCTCATCCAGACTCACATCTTTAAATGTGGTCTGTATGTTGATGGGAGCCCTGGTGTCAGTGGTTAAGAGCTACGGCTGCTAACCAAAAGGTCGGCAGTTCAAATCCACTGGCCACTCCTTGGAAACCCTACGGGACAGTTGTACCCTGTCCAATACGGTCACTAAGAGTTGGAATTGACTCACAAGCAGTGGGTGTGGTTTTGGGTGTGGGTATGCTGATGATCCTCCAACTTCTGTCTCCAGCCTGGTCCTCTCCTCTGAACACCTGATCAGTATCTTCCTACTCCTGCTGCCTACCTCACACCGCCACGTGGACACCTAGTAGGCAACCTTACCATATGCCAGACTGAACTCTGCACAGTGCCCCACAGCTGCTCTCGTCATAGTCTTCGCATTCTGTGGCAACTGTACCTGCAAGTGCTCAGGCTAAAAACCTTGGTGTCATTCTTAACTCCTCTTTCTCTCATATCCCCCATCTAGTCCAACCATAAAACTTATTGGCTCTAACTTCAAAATATATTCAAAATTCAACCATCTCTCACCACCCTACTGCCACCACCCTTACCGCCAACACCATCTTCTTGCACCTGCGTTACTGTAATAGCCAACTGGTCTTCCCACTTCTGCCCTTGCTCCCTCCCAACAGTCTGTCCTCAACACAGAAGCCAGATAGATCATGCTAGAACATTAAATCGGATCACCTCTTTTCTCTGTTCAAAACTCTCTAGTGGGGTCTCATCGCACCCTGGGTCAAGGTCAGGCCCTTCCTCTGGTCTACAGAGCACTTCAAGCCCTGTCCCTCCATGTCCTCTCTGTTCTAACTCCAGTTACTCTCCTCCTTGCTCACACTGTTCATGGCCACTTTGGCCTCTTCATTGTTCTATGCCATCGAGTCAATGCTGACTCAAAGTGACCCTATATGACAGAGCAGAACTTCCCCATATGATTTCCTAGTCTGCAATCTTTACGGGAGCAGATCTCCAGGTCTTTTCACCCGCAGAGCCACTAGGTGGGTTCAGACCACCGATCTTTCGGTTCACAGGCAAGTGCTTAACCACTGCGCCACCAGGGCTCCTTCTGGCCTCTTTACTGCTCCTCAAACATGCCAGGCACCCTCATTGCACAGGGCCTTTGCACCTTCTGCTCCCTCTGCCTGGACAGTTCTTGCCACAGATCTCCACATGGCTTGTTCCCTCACTTCCTTCAGTTCTTTACTCAGAAGGTTACTTTCTCAGTGAGGCCTTCCCTGACCACCATATCTAGATTCCAAATCCCAAACCAGCTGCTGTCAAATCAATTCTGACTCATGGCAACTCCATGATACCAACTTCCCTCTTTTCCTTCACCACCCATCCCCCCCAGCTTCTGACTTTTTTCCCTTCAGAACTTACTACTAACAAACTAAAATATTTAGTATTTATTATGGTCTGTCTACGCCTACAAGAACGTATACTCCAGGAATACAGGGACTTTTGTCCGGTTTTCTTCACCACTGTATCCCTAGCATCCAGAAGACTTTCAATAGTCAGTCAATAAATGAATAAATAGAAAATAAGTACTGTCGTCTTAGTTGTACAGATGAGGAAATGAAGACTCAGAAAAGTTAACTAAGTTGGGCTTCCATTTCCCTAACTGCTGTGAGGCTTAAACAAGCCCTGTGCAAACAGTAAAATGTGGTGCAGACCAAAGACATCACTACAATCCTTCTCCTAGTGGAGACAGACTGTTCTCCAGGAAGCCTAGGACATGAGAGATCCCCTTCTGTCTTCTGACTTTCCAAAGTCATCTCTACAGGCTGAGGACAGGCCAAACGATGGGGGGACTCGCCCAAAATGTCTATAGCTCATCCCTTCCAGGTTGGCTCTCTGGGACCTGCCTGCTGCATTGCACATGTGTTCTTCTCTGCCACCTGCTGCCTCATGTAAGCTCACAGGATTTTGAGTGAGTACAGTTTGGGGGCAGGGGGCATATTTGGGAGCCCAACTGTGGCTGTGTTCTCCACTCTAGCTTTATCAGGAACAAAGTCATGTTTGGATCTCCCTCCAAACTCTGTCTCCCTTTCAATTGGTTGTTAGCTGGGAGGGGAAGGGGTATAATGGATACCTTCAGGAACCCCAATAATCACGAATGCCGTGAGTGAGGGAGGCCCAAGAGTCCCGCTTACCGCCGTGGGAGCCCAGTCCTGCCCGTACACGAAGCAGTACTTGCAGTAGAGGTCGTTGTACTCTGGAAACTGTGGAATAAAGCACATGAGTTCTATTTACTGGGACTCATGCTGCGGCCCACCAACATGCTGGCTAGGCAGGTGTAGCCAACAGGACTTTTGAACATGAGGCACTTGGGGTGGGGCCTAAGAGCCAGCTGGACATGTGGATATGGGGTTCAGCAGAGAGGCTGTGCTGAGGACTCTGCTATGGGAGCCCACAGGAGGGTTCCAGGTTGCTACAGGCCCTGGGCCTTTGCTCAGGCTCTGCCTTCTGTCTGATATGCTCTTCCCACTCCATCTGGAAAACTCCTGCTCTTCCTTCAAAACTCACCCTCCTGGAAGTCTTCTCTAACATCCAGGTTCCTTCAGTGCCTGGGCTTCCCTCCATCAAAGCACTGATTGCCTGTCTGTCTGCCAACCCCATTAGACCGCACAGAAAGCACAGGGTGGGCACAGAGGAGGTCTGAAGGGATGGCACCCAAGTGAAAGGTCTGAGAACCAGGAAGCCATCAAGACACATGCTACTGGTGCAGACCCAGCCCAGCTGAGAGCCCCTGATTGGACAGGACAGGGGAAGGGCAGAAGACAGCCTCAGGTGCTAGGCCAAGGGAGAGGTGAGCAGGGTGGGAGCATGGGGCAGAAGTATCCCTGAAGAAACTGGAGAAGGCAGGAAACACCTACTGTCAGGCCCTGGGCACAGCTTTACCTAAAACATCTCTAATCCTCACGTGTAAATACCATTTCCAATAACCCGTAAGGTCGGTGTTACGGTGTAGCAGAGCTTTGACACCAGACAGACCTGGGTTCAAACCCCAGCTCTGCCACTTGTAAAACAGGGATGTTAATGATACCCACCTCATAGTGTTGTGCTGAATGAATGGGAAGTGCTGAGGGCCGCGTCTGGCGCATAGTGAATACCTGACACATACTGGCTTTTATTAATTTATAATAATTAATGGTTTTTATAAAGTGTTGGGGTGACAGACACACCTCCGAGGATGATTCCAGGCCACCACCATCGTTGGCTCCGAGTACCCAAATCATTCCCACTCCAACCTCAGTTAAGGATCTGAGGCTCACAGACGCACCGACTCAGTCACGGGCGGAGGAAGCCTGTGCGCCGGCCCAGTCGCCCCCGTGACGCACCGTGGAGCTCCTGCCCGTGATTCAACAAAATCAGGGACCACAGGCTTGACCGAGTGTCCCCTTGGCACGAGCTCAGCGTCTACAGGCCTCAATTTCCACACTGCGCATTAGGAACGCCTAGCATTATCGCGCCGCGCTCCTCACATGCCAGTTCTCCTCCCCCGCCTCACCGAGGGAAACAGGCTCCAAGGAACGACAGGCCTCGCTGGGCCCTAGCGTAGCCCGAGGGGCCGATCCCTGGGGGAGGCTGGGGCGGATCCCGGCCGCTCACCTGGGCGCTCTCCACCTGCCCGTTGACCATGAGTAGGAAGACGCTGGGACCTGCCGCCGCCATGGCAGCGCTAACTGCAGGGAGAACCGGTCCCAGTTGCGAGCGCAGTTGCTAAGAGGTGCTAGGGTTACCTTGGAAACAGACGGCGTGGCGCGCGGGACATATTTCTTCACTAGTGCGCGCGGGTGGCAGTGCGCAGGCGCAGTCAGCGGACCCGGCCGAGAGGGGCGAGGAGGGGACGACGGGGCTCAGTGGGCGGGGCCCGCGGCGTCGCCACTAGTCGGGGTGAGAGGGTGGGCTACCCGGGCTCTGAAGGGACATTCTCAAGTTGAGGCCAGACAGCGCTCTACATCGGGTGAAGGAGGTACCCACTTGTGGTTTTCTAAACCCTCCTCCTAAAAATGTTTATTAAACAAACTTGGGAGGGACCCCAAAAATTCTTAAATCTAAGCTACCACTTCTCCATTGAAGCTGGGGAAACTGAGGCCCACAGAGGGGCAGTGCCTGGGACTGCAGCAGAATCCACGATCTGTCAGGCCCTGTTCAAATGATAGTTCCTCTTAGGCCGCCCTTGTCCTCTTAGGATTCACCATGGTTTATATTTGTACGTTTATTGAGACAGTCATGATTTGGGCCAATGCTTATCTCCCCCACTAGACTGCCAGCTGCATGAGTATAGGGACTGTGTCAGTCTGATATCCCTGTTGCCTGGTACATAGTAAGCACACAATAAGTACTTGCTGAGTGAATAAATAATTGAATATGGCCCTATTTTACAGAGTAGGAAACTGTGATTCAGAGAGGGAAGGTGACTTGGACAAAATCGCAGCAGCAGGTGGCTGAGCCAGGATGTGAACTCACAACTCCACAGACTAAAGACCCTCACTGCCTCCTCTGCCTTGTCCTGGGCCAGGCCTGATGGCACTTCTTGGCTCAAGTGTCCGAGGTGACATTAGAGACCTCCCGGACCCAGGAAATGAAGGGATGCACAGTAGTGTAGACTTTGGGAGGCCAGACTCCAAGCATGGACTCCAGGTCACCACCCTGCTCAACAACCAGCTGCCAGCTTGGGAGCAGACCAGGGGGCTCCTGTCACCCACCTGTGGAGGAGAGGGAGGAATAGGTCACAGCTTGGCCCACTGAAGCCCTGACCCCAGGTAAGCAAAGATACCTGATTGAGAAGGCAGAGGCTGTGGGCAACCAGGGTTTATTCGTGTGATGGAAGAGGCTGGGAGGCCCAACGGGTGGGGGGTGCACAGGGAGGAGCTCAGGCACTTGGCCACATACTGCCCAACTCCATGTCACACCCTGTCTCTTCCTAGTTAATATGCTTTCTCCAACAAATTCTACCAGACTTTCCCAACTCCTTCTTCTCTACGGCCTTTGAGGCTCAGGACTGTGCCAAAGTGAGTTTGCAGCTGAATGCCTGAGATGATCAGATAACCACTGGGACTTCCGTGCTTAAAAACCTGGCCATGCCAAAGGCTACCCCACATTTGAACAGGACATAAAGGGGGACTTCCCCTAAGGGACAGGAGGCTCTGAGGTGGCCACCAGAAGTGCAGAGGAGCCCAATTTCCCAGGTGTTGGTGGATGGGAGACCTCAAGGTATCGTGGGAGGGTTACCAAGCCTGCCTCTGTGGAGTCTGCTGTCTTTAGGAGGGACTGGAGGGGAGGGTTGCGGGGTCTCAGGGGCTTGTTCAGGGCTCAGCTGGAGTCCTCACCAGAAGTTCAGGTGGGCCTGGTGCACTGGGAGCCCTCAGGCAGGGTGACATCCAGGGTGGGACAGTCAGGTTGGAGGCAAAAGGGGTCTTTGCAGTTGCTGGGGGACAGTGGCCTCAGCAGCACACTGTGAAGCTCTCGGGGTAGGGCATACAGGTCTGCATGTGGTGGGGGACCCTCAGCCGGTGTGCCCAATATGGCTGTACTGGTGGTTAATAGATTGAGATACTTCCCCACCAGTGAGCACATAGCTCCTGCCCTGGTCTCCCTGCCCTAGGATGTGCCTCCTGGCTTCTACTCCTTGACTGTCCTCTTCCACCTTGCCCAGCACAACTCTGCCTTCATTGGACTCCTGCCTCACAGTCTCCTCAAGCCCAGGTGATCTTGAGGACCCTAGGGCAGGGAGAGTGGGGACGAGGTGTTGCCTGGTAGGTATCAGACATCCAGGGTGGAAGCTGACTCAGCAGAGCAGGAGGTCAGTGCCACCCTTCCCCCTGCATGACCAGGAGGTCCATGTGCCTGCGAGCAGCCCCTGCAGCCCCAAGTACCACCCTGTCTGTCCACCTCCCCAGTCCAGCATCCTCTGGCTCCCAGCCATCCCAGGCTTCTGCTCTTATCCTCACCAAAATCGGGCTCAAATCGTTGGGCCCAGCAGGGAGGCCAGGAGCCAGAGAAGGCTCAGCGACCTCGGCCTCCAGCAGCACAGTGGAATAACCAGGCCCACAGTAGGTGGTCTGGGGTCTGGGGTAGAAGCCAACGCAGGCTTCAGGGGTTGCTATCCCCAGCCTGTCCCCAGTTTACTAAGTCACTGCCCTACTCTAGGCCTCAGTGTCTTCATAATAAGAGGAGGGTGATGCCCAGATGACCTCATTCCCCTGTTAAGTTGGGAATAGGCCTAGGAAGGGCTAGGGGAATCTCTGGCTCTCTGAATCCTGCCTCAGGGGCTGCACCTGTCCCCTTTGCCCATGAAATTCAAGGGAGGAAATACATGGAGAGGCTTCTTCCAGGGGTAAACCAGCCAAGGGAGCTATAGAGAAGTGAGTCAGACAGTTCTGGGCTCCAATCCAGACTGCCCCTCAAAAGCTGTGTGACCTTAGGCTGATGGTCTGTCTAACTTATCTAAGTCTCAGCTTCCAGGAAAATGGGGATTATAAGGCCCCTACCCACCAGGGTTTTTAGTCAGTGGTAGCAACAATCTCCCAATGAAGATGATGATAATGTGATTGGAGTCCAGCTTGTATTTGTAGAGAAGTTGAATTGCTGGCCAAACTCTGAAAAACATTGTAGATATTTAAAAACCATTTGTCCTTCCTGAATGACGTGATAAACCAACTAGACTTAACAGACATATATAGAAAATTCCACCCTAAAACAGCACAATATATATTCTACTGCAGTGCACATGGATCATTCTCCAGGATAAACCACATTTTAGGTCACAAAGCAAGTCTTGATAAATTTAAAAAGATTGAAATCATACAAAGTATTTTTTCTGACCACAACGGAGTGAAGCTAGAAATTAATAACAGAAAAAATCCTGGAAAATACACAAACATATGGAAATTAAACAACACACTATTAAACTACCAATGGGTCAAGGAAGAAATAAAAAGAGAAATCACAAATTTCTTAGAGTCAAATGAAAATGAAAGCACAACATACCAAAACTTATGGGATGCAGCAAAGACAGTACTCAGAGGGAAACTTGTATCAATAAATGTCTACATAAAAAAAGAAGAATGATCTCAAATTAACAGCCTAACTTGACAAGCCCAGGAACTAGAAAGAGAAGAGCAAGTTAAGCCTAAACCTACCAGAAGAAAGGAAACAGTAAAGATCAGAGCAGAAATAAAAAACAGAAAAACAATAGAATCAATAAAACCAAAAGTTGGTTCTTTGAAAAGATCAATGAAATTGACAAACTTTTAGCTACACAAAGAAAAGAAAATATGCAAATAACCAAAATAAAAAATGAGAGAGGGGACACTACAACTGACCCAATAGAAGTAAAGGGAATTGTGACAGAATATTATGAACAACTGTATGGCAACAAACTGGATAACTTAGATGAAATGGACAAATTCTTAGAAGCACACGACCTATCCAAACTGACTCAAGAGGAAATAGAAAGTCTCAACAGACCAATAACAAATGAAGAGACTGAACCAGTTATCAAAAACCTCCCAACAAAAAAAAGTTCTGGACCAGATGGCTTCACTGTAGAATTCTACTAAACATTTAGAGAAGAACTGACACCAATACTTTTTAAACTCTTCCAAAGGATAGAAAAGGAAGAAATACTCCCTAATTCATTCTATGAAGCAAACATAACCCTGATACCCAAACCAGACAAAGACACTACAAGAAAAGAAAACTACAGGTTAATATCTCTTATGAATATAGATGCAAAAATCCTCAACAAACTGCTAGCAAACAGAATCCAACAACATATTAAGAGTCATACACCATGACCAAGTGGGATTTATTCCAGGAGTGCAGGGCTGGTTCAGCATTAGAAAATCAATCAATGTAATATACCGCATCAGTAGAACAAAGGAAAAGAACCACATGATCATCTGTATGGATGCAGAGAAAGGATTTGATAAAATCCAACTGCCTTTCTTGATGAAAATCCTAAAGATTGGAATAGAAAGGAATTTCCTCAATATGGTTCAGGACATATATGAAAAGCCAACATCCACCATTATGCTTAATGGAGAAAGACTGAGAGCTTTCCCCTTGAAATTGGGAACAAGACAAGCGTTCCCGCTCTCACCACTTCTATTCAATATTATATCAGAAGTCCTAGCCAGAGCAATAAGACAAGAAAAAGAAACAAAAGGTATCCAGATTAGAAAAGAAGTAAAATTAACTCTATTCACAAATAATATGATCCTGTATGTAGAAAATCCCAAAGAGTCCACAAGAAAACTTCTAGAGCTAATACAGGAATTTAGCAAAGCTGCAGGGTACAAGGTCAACACAAAAATTAGCTGGGTTTCTATACACCAGCAATGAGAAATCTGAATGGGAAATTAGGGACTCAAAACTACAATGAGATATCATCTCACCCTGGCATTACTGGCACTAATCAAAAAAAAAAAAAAAGAAAATAACTAATGTTGGAGAGGTTGGGAGATTGGAACTCTTACACACTGCTGGTGGGAATGTAAAATACTACAACCACTATGGAAAATGATATGGTGCCTCCTTAAAAAGATAAAAATAGAAATACCATATGATCCAGCAGTCCCACTCCTAGGAATACATCCTAGACAAATAAGAACCATCACACAAATAGACATATGCACACCCATGTTCATTGCAGCATTATTCACAATAGCAAAAAGACGGAAACAACCTAAGTGCCCATCAACAGATGAATGGATAAACAAATTATGGTACATACACACAATGGAATACTATGCAGTGATAAAGAACAATGATG